TAAGTGATGTAAAAAGTAGTAAGATTAAAGATATGGGTAACAAGAAATAGCAAGATAGGGTTGGATTTATTGTAGAAATAAAGCCAAAAGAAATTTATCCAAAGTTCTAAAACCTTGGACAAAGTATATAAAGTTTGATTAGAGAAAATTCTTTTGGCAAAAAAGAAACCAAATTATCTCTCTAGCAAAACCACTACCAAGAAGATAGAAAGGATTTTTCATCTAAATTGGCTGCCTAAGATTGAAGTATGAAGAAGAAACCTTCATAAATGCAATACCTCTTTAAATGCAAGATTTTTTGGCCGGGTCACGGCTACGATTTGGAGAGGTCTGTCTGTATACACAGTCAGCTCTCCTCAAATGCAACACACTCTAAATACATGACATAAGCCCGGGCCCATAATGGGACTTATAGATAAATATACGCTCATTCTGTCAGTGAAAGCTAATAGTCTGGCCTACTTATAAAAACTCCTTCCATAAATGCATCTACGTGATTGCCAGCCAATCAAATGCATTATTTTAGGCATATTTATCACGTGATAATCGTCACATTTTGGTTTAGTGTTTTCTAATTGCAACCCTCCATAAATGCACGCTCTAGAATTAGTCCCGACAACTTGGATTTAGGGAGGTCTGACTGTATTAAAATAAAAAACTATTGGTATTGCTATATTATTATTATTATTAACAATTTTTAATATACCAACAATAATTAGTATACTTTATTATAAAAGTTTAACTACAACTAGAATTGTATATAATATACAAAAAGTTTTATAAACATATATACTATAAAAAAGTTGGCAATAGTTTATTTTTAAAAGATTGCTTTATTATTATTGATAATAAAAATTGCAATATTTTAAAAAATATTGCATTATAATACCAATAACTATACTAATAAATTGTCTTAAAAAAACCTTATCTTATTCATCTTATAATAACCTTGATATATTTATTCAATTCTAAACATCAAAATTTTGAAAAATGTACAATTAGTAATGAAAATAATTGACTATAATAATATTCATTTTCAAATAAATTTCCAACCCTTATTAACTATCATATAGCACTTTTAATAATTTGAGATAACAAAAGTTATTTTGTATTCAAATCAGATAAAAAGAATCATGCTAAAAATAAAATATTAACATTTATATTGCATAATTATAATAAGTTTGTTATTTTTTAAATAATTGTTGCTTACCAACTTTATGAAGATCCATAAAAAATCGTAATGTAGAATCATTGTACACCAACTTTTCTTCCATTAATTTCATATTTTGTTGTTGAAGCACACTTTGGAGATTTAAAGTTTTTATATCTGACTCTAAACGCTTATTTTCTGATAACAATGTTTCATAATCAAAGGATGGTTTTACTACAGATGATTGTTGTAGCTTCTTATTAGTTGACGAGTATATTTTCTCGGTATTGAATGAATTTTCGATTAATAAATCTTGCTTGTCCGTGATCATAAAATCTTGGAATGATTTATCCATATTTAACATACTCG